GCGCTGGCGTGGCCGGCGCGGCTGGGCATCGCGCGCGGCGCGGCCCGCGGGCTGGCGCACCTGCACGCCTCGTCGGAGCCGCGCGTCCTGCACCGGGACATCAAGTCGAGCAACATCCTCCTGGACGCGCGGCTGGAGCCCCGGCTGGCGGACTTCGGGCTGGCCAGGCTGGTGCTCCCGACGGACACGCACGTGACGACGGACCTGGTGGGCACGCTGGGGTACATCCCGCCGGAGTACGGGAGCTCGTCGGTGGCCACCTACCGCGGGGACGTGTACAGCCTCGGCGTGGTGCTGCTGGAGCTTGTCACGGGGCGGCGGCCGGTGGACATGGCGCGGCCCGTGGGCGGAGGCCGGGACGTGACGTCGTGGGCGGTAAGGATGCGGCGCGAGGCCAGGGGAGACGAGGTGATCGACGCCAGCGTCGGCGTCGGCGAGAGGAGGCACCGGGAGGAGGCGGCGAGGGTGCTGGACGTGGCGTGCGCCTGCGTCAGCGACAACCCCAAGTCGCGGCCCACGGCGCAGCAGGTGGTGGAGTGGCTCGACGCCATCGCCGCCTCTGCCTCGCCGGTGCCGCGGACGACTGACACAGAGCACGCCGTGAATCGTTGTAACTGGAGATGAATGGAAAATGTAAAATGAAAATCGGAGATGTGCACTTGGAAAACTAAAGTTTTGGAGTAGTACATTGATCAATTAACCGTATATATAATCATACATACACAGAGTAACTGCTGACACTGTAACAAATCAGAACATATTCTGCGTCTCCGGTCCTTTGGTTGAAAGAAATTGTTACTGTATGATCATTCATTCGCCATACAGTAAAGATAAATATTATTACTGACAGTGTGATCATTCATAGAATCACGGAGCTTGGTGCAAATATAAATACTAGAGTATATGTCAATTTTTTTTTTGTAAGACACTGTTTGGGGCTTCCGAGGGTTCCGGTTCCTCTCACTACTGTAGTGTTACTGCAGCCAGAAGCTATTTTTGGTGCTTGGGGTGAAAAATAACCTAAGGAAGAAGAGAAGCCGGCGGAGACACTCTACCAGCTAAGTCTCCACTGTAACAGTGGTGGATCAAGAGCGGCTCGGAGCTACGCCAAAACTAGACTACACGGATTAACAAACATTGCCTCTGAGTTCCACGCTTTGTGGCCTACATTTGTGAAGGAATTATCAATAAGGAATCAAAAGAGTTATACAAGAAAGATTTCAAATTACCAAAGCTATATTTTTATCACGAACAAAAAAATATCCTCGGGGACATATGCCCCCATATGCACCTAAATTGGATGCACATGAGGGCATACCAGGAGAGAGCGTCCGGCTGCCAGCTTGCTGCTCAGGGGTGAGGTTAGCGGGCGACGGCTCAATTGTTTATGACCGGTGACTTTTATATACTAATAAAACGTACTTTTGTAATCCGTCTTCTCTGCAGCGGTCGCGGAATCTACAACGAACAGCGGCACAACGCACACACAAAGTCACCACTAGCACGGTTGGGCGCACTGACGCTGCCATTAACAGATTAGGATAGCTGAAAAAATATGCAACAGTGAAAAGTGTTTAAGCAGTACATAACACAGTGCATAAACAAAATCGTGCGACAATTGCCCCACTTGACCATTATATGCGCATCTTACCGATACCCTCTAAATGACTCCACAAGTGAACCGTCCCAGGAATTGAGATGAGGGCCAAGCTATTCACTTTGACGGCGGCGGCGGCGAGTCTGGGACGGCTGCCGTCGCCACATACCTCTTCAGTACAGGCGATGCCCCGCATCCTCCTATCTACCGATATAGCCGTTGACAAGCAAAAGAAGGGGCACTCATATGGTGTATGATGTGGCGTTCATCCATAATTAACAATAGTGCAGAGAAGATGCAATTTGCATCTTTGCTAGACTGACAATAGACAAGACTAGCAGCAAATGCATTTTATTGTTTTCACCGAATGAGGGAAGGAAGAAGGTGTATAGTGTGTCAGTCTAAAGTTATATACTTCCTCCGTCTAGAAAAAAAATACAATTCTCGTATTTGGAGAAACCAAATGTTTCTATCAAATTTATATGAAAAATACTAACATTTATAAAACAAAATAAATATTATAGATTAATTATGAAATATACTTTCACAATAAAAAAGATTTGGAGACATAAATATGAATATTATTTACTGTAAACTTGATCAAACTTAAACTACTTGATATCATAGTTGCATTCTTTTATGATCGGAGGGAGTACTATATTACTATGGAATAAAAAGTATGTGTGAATGGCTTTTTTTCTTCAAAAAAAAAACTGAAACAATACAACAATACAAGCAAATCACAAATCCTAACGGCGAGGGCTATAGTTTGATGACAGAAGATATGGTGCATGCAGTTCTAGACGACGATCTACGACGCACTTTGATCCGGTGTTGCCGAAGCAGCGATGGGTGCCCCACGACCGGATGTAGCCACATAGTTGCCGCAGAAGGGCTTGCTTAGCTCAGGCTGCCGGGAGATGCTCAAATTTATGGTCGCCCACAGCACCATAGGAACCAGACTAACAGCAGAATTACGATGGATGCTAGACCGCCTTCTAGCCAATCATGCTGCCCGTATGTAAGGTTGAACTTAAGGGTGGAGCCAGGGGGGCCATGCCCCCCCACCCATGCAGCACTTTCTCGCCCAAAACTTGACCATCCGCAACGAGCTCCGCGGTCAGCGCCGTCAGCTGGGTGGCGTGGAATAGGGAGCACGTTGTCAAGGAGACCGTGGACAACGTCAAGTATATGGAGTTCAACAACAGACAGCCTGGCACTGACACCACCCACCGTGTCAACTGGAAGGGCATTCAAATCCTCCACGCCGCCGCCCAGGTAGCCAAGTACACCGCCGTCGATAACTTCATTGTGCCTTGGGTATTCTACTGGTGCTTAAGTGTTCCAAGAGTTGCTCTTGAGGTCACTTGCCGTGGTCAACTAAGGCTCTTATAGTATTTAACAGGGGAGCTATTGGTGGTCGTTTTTTGTTTTGTGTGTTGCATTTTTGTGTGTGTGGTCATTCCACGAGGTAGTTGCAGGTGATGGTAGTGAGTTAGGGCATGCATGGTTTTGGGCAAACTTGTTCTGTGTCAGGCCCGGAGAGCCAATTTGGCCTAGGATTTTATTATACGGCTACCGTATAAAATTATTCATATGGAATCCTATAAAAAACATTTATTTATGAATTTGGTAAATGATTGTAAAAGTTACAATTTAATTCACTATGCAGGCGCTAGATAATATAATATGTCCTGAACTTACCAAGTTACAATATAAATAGTTTAAATCCAATACTGGTAGTTTAAAATATAGATACAAAAGAGACTTACAGTAATACTCGTACGACTTGTTTTGGTGAACCATGAAAAACAATATCTAATCTAAATATTATCTGAATAATGTCTCTGATACATAGATAATTATTGATAAGTAATTATGCAACCAAGCTTTTTTTAGAAAAAAATAGATGATTCAGCGGCGCCACGACAATTACAGCCTAATAGCCTCTGTGTGACTGTGCCTCGGCCCGTTGGCCGCTCGCATAACGCCGTCGTCGGGTCGTCCAGTAGTCCCGTGCCGCGTGCGTGAGATTGATTTGCGCAAATCGATTGGCCACTAGAAAAAAGAGCGCGCCTTTGGCGCGTTAGCCCTGTGCTTTTTCTTGGATTGTGAGATGATGAGTAAGATGTCACAGCAAAACGAGGTGCTTCGTCTTGCAATAGTAAATTCCTCTGAGAAATCTCTTTTGTTCATTACATATATCATGATATAATGAAAGTTGGCTGCTATTAGAGTTGACCTGAACCATCCTTCCCTTGCATCTTTAATGTTTTTGGTGTACCAAAAAAAAGGACATGGCCTCATGATATTCATATCAATGGTGTGCAGTTGATTTTTGTATGTCGTTCTGGTTGATTCCTGGGCCGTCGAATCGAGCACCAAGATTTGGCCCGCTAAAAGCTTTGGTAGGGCATAGCTGGGGCCTGGAACAACTCAAAGGCACCCACGATTTTTGACGTGGGCCAAGCTTTGGCAGGGCAGCGTCCAAATTAAACGCACCCATAACTAATTTTTCTGGGGATCAAGTCCCGTTGCTAATCTCTAGCTGCCAATGCCGAACAATCGTTGCATCCAAATACCCCGGGAATTGAAATATAATGCAGAAAGCGCAGGTTATATGCACATTTTTAGTTTACGCTAAGTTATCATGCATGCGGACCACAAAACAATATATGTTTCGTTCTCAAATATCCAGTAGCCTAGTACATTATAAATGTGCGCATATATATATATATATATATATATATATATATATATATATATATATATATATATATATATATATAAAAGAGGTGCAGTGCCATATAATACCATAACTTGATTTATGATAATGTTTGTACCAATTTATGATAACATGAATATGAATTTACGATACTCGTGTTACTATAAGTCACGATGATATTTCCCATAATGTTATAGTAAATCACTTAGTAAGAAGTTATTGTAATCTTGTAAATTAGAATATAATTCTTTAACTTCGAGTGGACGAATAGTTATTTTAAGCGAGCAGTAGTTATATATATATATATATATATATATATATATATATATATATATATATATATATAAAGAAACAAAAAGAGGTACGTTATGCCACCATAACAAAAACTAGTACCAATAGCAGCAGTAAACAATACTTCCTCCATTTCAAATTATAAGACGATGTTCAAGGTATATTATCTTTTGGATCTATTTCTTTAAACAGACTGGCAGAAGAGTTGCCGATTATATTGTATTTTATTAATAAAGAAAGAGACTCAAATCGGACAAACAACTATAATAGTTTGAACAACTCTGCCAACAGCAAACAACACGTATCACCAACACAACCACAACAACTGAAAAGAAGATAACATCTAATAATAAAGAAAAACCAAAAAAAGAAACCTCCTTTGGGGATCTATCCTTCTGTACTAATAACGGCGAGTTCGATTTTATTTTCGCCGTTGTGGATGTTCACATTGGTGGCGTTGATCGTGATGTCAGTCGTCCTGTTGAAGCAACTGCATGTCCTGTACCTGTACGCCCCGTAACCACCACCAAGAATCGCTATCAGGCTTCCTATCACACCAAAGATCCACTTGAGAAGGCTCTTAGTAGATGTGGATGTGGGGGCTCTGGTGTGGGTGTCCTCGGCGTCGCAGAGGCTAGGCCGCACAACCATGTGTAGGACGTCTGCATTGCAGCAGGAGGGCATTTCTTATGCGCATCTTCCATGAAAGAAGAGGTAACGTTTGCCCTTGAAGAAAGTCGCCGCGCATGCTGGCAACGAGATGTAGTGGTAGCAGGTGCGGCGCACGTGACCCGGAGGTTCCGAGTGGTGGTGTAGTTGCTCTCCGGCGACGCCACCGTCCACCAGAATTCTGAGCCTTCCATGTAGATATAGCTGTATATAGAGAGAGTACAAACATGCCGATGCCACACACAGGTAAGAAAAGACCGAGGATGCATGATGAATGAACCGGTGCTCTGTTCGGCTGATACATAAGCCGGTTGAAAGCTATTTTGTTATGAGAGAAAAAATACTGTAGATTCTAGCTGATAAGCCGGTAGGGACAATACCTTCCGGTGAGGGTGTTGTCCGCGTAACCTCGGTAAAGCAGGCCGCCTACTAGGGATGGCGGAGTTCTTGGCGTGGGCCGTTGGTGGGCCACGATGAGCGAGGCACTTGGCGGCATGGCAGAGGGGGATGGGCCGTCTGAGGTGAGGTATACAACCTCTTGCTCTTCCTGCACGTTATGAGTTCCGTTGGTAAATGCATTGGACTCACTACAAGGCCCACAACACAGGAAAACAGCACTTGCAGCAGCAGTGGAAAAAAGCCAGAATAACCTTAACGATTGCGCAGTAGAGGTCGTGAGGCTTGTCGGCATCGAACGCGCATCGCCTCGGGACGCCTAAGAGCGATGCGTATACTTGGACCTCCGTGGAACCGATTCCTGACGCAAATTATGTTAAGATTTGAAGGTGATTGGTTTTTTGCGATGAGATGATGAGAAATGAAAAAACAAACAAGTAAAATCGTACATACCCGACGGCATGCCTCCAACGCGAAAGCGCAAGATTTTTGCTTGCAGTTGACCATCGCTCTGGGCCGGGCCAGTGACGAGGTAAAGGAAAGAGTCAGCGTTGGTGGGCCGAAATAGGATCTGGCCACCGTAGTAGTCGAGGAGAAAGCCTACTGATGAGGAGCGGGGCTCCGCCAAGGCCATCGAGAACACCCTCGTAGTCCTAGCCTGGGCCGGGTTCCTGTTGGCCTATAATAACGAAGGGTAGAAATCAGAGGATGTACATGTACTCGTACGTTCGAGCTGCTGAAAAAGTGAAAACAGACGATGTATCTACTGAAACTGACCTCGTGCCCGCTCCAGGATGCTGTCGGCAGTTGGTCGACGACGAGGAAGGCGCCGCCGCCGTCTGTGGCAACGGTCGTGTAGTAGGAGATGAACAATCTGCCGCTGGAATGGACAGCGACCCCAGCGAGGCCCCGGCCGTGCGCGGCGGCGTCTTGGCTGACGCGGGTGCCGAGGTCGACCACCGGCTTGTCGCCCACGCGGAGGATGGAGCCGCCGGTGGGGTCCACCACGTCCACCGTAGCCAACCATATCTGCCCGTTTCTTCGCCAACAGAGGAGTCGGCCAGATCCATCATGAAGTGGCACCACACCATCGTACGCCCGCGTGGAAGCCTTGTGCACGCACAGCGTGCCGCTGGACGATCTCCTGCTGCCGCCGCCGTCAGTGCAGCCTAGCTCGTCGTCGCGACGGGTAGTGGAGATGGACGGCGGGGCCGCAGCGCCGGCGCAATGGAGAGGAAGCGTGGAGGACGTGTCGTCGTCGGCCGGAGCAGTGGCGGCCACGCACATCTGCGCATACGAACATTAGAGTGTATTATGAGCAAGTGGCGAGATTAGGATCAAATTCTAATAGCGGAAAGGCAAACGATACACCATAGTCGTCTATATGACAATGTATGTACGTGTCATAGAAAAATAGCTCACAAGAAAGGTTTTAAATCGAGAAGTTCTTTAATCATATAATTAATAATAATATAATATGATACGGTAGCTACCGGGGAGAGAAATACGATGCTAATGTCATGGTCCTCTTCGTCTTGTATTTTGTAACAACCAATTTTGTAACCATCAATCAATTGTGAGAAATCTGTAATTTTATCTTTTAATTGGAGTCAAAACTGCACAGAGGGTTAAAATTGGAAACTCTCGGGCCAGACTTCAACTCTCGAAGTGGAATAATTGCTGGGCTGTTGGGCTAACAAATTACATAGCTATCCCTGGGCTAGTTGGACCACAACGGCCCTAGGCCTGAGCCCGCCCCTGATTATCAGATCCGCACACCACCGGCCCACCCGCAGCGGCGGCCACTGCACGAGTAAGAGGGTGTTTGATCCGGCGATTAAAATTTAGGAGGTGTCACGTGAGGGTGTCGTATGAGGTGTTCGGATTCTAATAAAAAAAAAATTACAGAATCCGTCATTACTCCACGAGACGAATTTATTAAGCCTAATTAATCCATCATTAGCACATGTACTGTAGCACCACGTTGTCAAAATATGGACTAATTAGACTTAAAAGATTCATCTTACAAATTAGTCGTAAACTATGTAATTAGTTTTATAATTAGTCTATATTTAATACTCCATGCATATATCAAACATTTGACGGGACACCGACTAAAGTTTAGAAGGAGTAACCGCCCACCGTCTTAAGTTGCTAGCGCGCTACGGCGCTACCACAGTCCACTTGCTGCTTGCTACAGTAATAATTATTTAATTTGTACGGCGCTACCACAGTCCACATCCTGCTATAGGACAATCTTTTCTAAATTTAAGGCAGTTCGTGACTAGCTACGGTTGCAACAAGAAATTAAAATAAACAGAGGTCCGTTATGGTTTCTACCTGAAGCAAGTATGGAATGCAGTCTACAATTTTTTTGGTTGCTATAATATGGAATTAGTTGTCAGTTAGTCTAATATGGCATAGTTTTGTCTTGCTGATATCTGATGCTTAAAATTTTGTGTTTTTGGTAATTTACAACACGTTTAAACTTGAGTTATCGTGGAATTGTTTTTTTCCATTGCAACGCAAAACAAATGGACCTACTTGAATTATCGAGAAATTATTTTTTTCAGGTCTTGATCCTAGTTGGATAAAAAAAAATTACCCACACCCGGGCAACGGTACCCGCCAGTCCCCAGCGGCGAAGCGCAGCAGCAAGACAGAAGGAACACACCCGTGTATGGGTACCCGCCAGAAAGGAGAGGTGGAACAATGACGGACTTACCGCACAGATGTAGGCCTTCAGCTCGGATCTGCAGGCAGCGTCCTCGTAACCGTGGGCTTTCACCTCGGCGAGGAATGCCTCACGCAGCTTCAGGTCGTCTTCGGCACTGCAGCAGCAAGACCCACAGAAGGGCGTCGTTGTTCCTACAACAAATTAATTAAAGCACATACAATGATTGTTCAGCAGCAGTAAACGGCGGATCGGATTGATATGCAAAGATGATAGATGATGCATGTTATGTTAATTACCTGCACACGAAGCATCAGGAGGAGGTGAACACGACGCAAGAGACAAGCAGGCGAGGGAGAGGAAGAGGACGATCCGCATCATCATCGTGATGGAATCGGCGATGCAGTACCAGTAGCTTGTAACAGAGTGGAAGGCTGGAAGCAGTTGCTTCGAGCGGTGCTGTCAAAGCTTATTAGAGCCCACCGGCTTATATAGCTCTTCATTACTACTCCCTCCGTACCAATATATAATCATGCACAATTTATAATCATGCACTGAGCACTGTACAAAGTTGCAGGTCCTTAAATGTTCTTGGGTCTGAATCGGGAGCGTCATGCGCAAGGCGGAACGCAGTCTGACACGTCGTTCCCGAGCTCTCCCAACTTTTCCGCATGGGTGTTGACGTGATGGAAAGCCCCACTGAGCGATGGACCCCGGATACGGCTGGTCCCATTGGCTGCGACAGGGGTTCTCTAGGGGTGCGTGTGGGCGGAAGGAGCGGGTGTGGACGTGATGGAAAGCCACACAGGGACACAGTGACGCCAGATATGACACAGGGACACGGAGCAGGGAGACCAAGAAAAGGAAGAGACTGCACTGCACGTCTGACACATCGGTCCCGGCCAACCCATCAGTGGCGAAGCGAAGAAAATCGAGGGCTGCGACGGAAAGAGCGTGTTGGGCGTGATGGAAAAAAAATAAGTTGAAAATATTGTTCAGGGACATTGAGCAGAGAAAATAGAAAGGATTTGAAATCACTGCACGTCTGACACATCGGTCCCGGCCAACCCATCAGTGGCGAAGCGAAGAAAATCGAGGGGGTGCGACTAAAAACACGAGTGATTAAGAAATCTACCTGCATTGTCCAAACGACGAACCACGGCGTCATCTCTACTTTCTCTACGTGACAAATAAGGTAATTATTCATAAATTTATCATCGTAAAGTTGTTTTGACAATCATTATGATTTTTAGTCTCCACCATTCTTTGAGAATGCTTGCTTGTAATTCTCGGCATTATTGGCTGAAAGCTCTAGTTTGGTTTTGTTGAATTGATGAAATCCTAAGTGCCAACCTAGTTTATCAAAGTGATTATGAGATATGTAGCACATTCCAAGTGGTGAAGCAAATGATGATCATAACATGATGATGGTGATGCCATGGCGATGATCAAGTGATTGAACTTGAAAAGAAGAAAGAGAAAAACAAAAGGCTCAAGACAAAGGTATAAAAGGTAGGAGCTATTTTATTTTGGTGATCAAGATACTTAGAGAGTGTGATCATATTTAGGATTGATAGCCGTACTATTAAGATGAGTGAAACTCGTATCGAAATGCGGTTATCAAAGTGCCACTAGATGCTCTAACTCATTGCATATGCATTTAGAATCAAGTGGAGTACAAACACCCTTGAAAATGTTTATGAAAATATGCTAACACATGTGCACAAAGTGATACACTTGGTGGTTAGCACATTTGAGCAAGGGTGAAGGAGATAGATATGAAATGGAGTTAGTCATGTTGGTCACGCAGTGACCGGACGCTGGTCTCAGTGGGACCAGTGCGTCCAGTCAATAATATAGTAAAGACGCTAGCTGTTGTGGCTGCACACAGAAGAGTCACTGTGTGACCGAACGCTGGATGAGTCCGATCGAGCATGACCGGATGCGTCTAGTTGTGAAAAGTCGTCTCTAGATGCTTACTGAAAACGACCGAACGTTGGGGTTCACCGTTCGGTCACCTTGAGCAGCTGCGTCCGGTCATCACTTGACCGTTGAGATCGAGCGATCAGTATTTGAAGAGAGGGGACACGTGGCGTGCATCGCACGATCGAACGTTGTGGTACAGCGTCCGGTCAATAACCATCTTACTCTCTCTCTTTACATTACCGCAAACTAGTTATCAAGCTCTTTAGTATAGCTAGTTGTGAGGGCTTGTTAGTTTGGTTAGTGTGGCTCTTTAGTTAGTTTTTGAGAGCACACTAACTTAGTGTAGTGACATAGCCATTGTGTGGATAGAAATTATAGAAACTAGAATTGTGGTAGGTGGCTTATTTTCAGTAGGCTAGCGCAACACTTGTTTCGCCTTATAATTGTCTAACCGGTTTGTTAAATATTATTGTAGAAATTTTTAATAGGTTATTCACCCCCCTCTAGCCATTAGGACCTTTCATTGACACTGTCAGGCTCTGGTGTTTTTGTTTTAATGGAAAACCGTTCCATCAGCCTAATAAAAGAACATATAAATTTGTACTCAAACACAAATAAGTAGCATAATACTGTATACCGTTGTAAAAGTAAAACAAAAACCAGTTATACCTTTATGCCCGCATTGAAACGCAGGAATTTCGTAGAAAGTGTATAATAATTTCAGAAACAGTTTATTTTTCACAGGGAAAATGTAGGAACGTGAAAAAAAATCTCATATTCCAAAGGGACCTAATTTGTACATAAAATCAGATTAATTAAGAAAGACAAAAAGCCGCTGGTGCTGATTAGTATGGCTGATTTTTTGAGAGAGAAAAATACTCTACCATGGCTTATAAGCCAATAAATAAGCTGGCTGATAAGACCAGCCGAACACTCTCCAAAGCATCTTAAGTTTGACCAAAATTAGAGAGAATAATAAAAATTTATGATATCAAATAGGTATACTATGAAAATATGAATTACAAAAGTTTATGATATCAAATAGGTACATGAAAATTCTCTAATTAATAAAGAATTTAATTATACTTATTTGGTATCATAGCTGTTATTTATTATATTATATAAATTTGATCATATTTGAAATGATTTGACTTTTCAAGAAAGTTGGATTGATTCATAATTTAGGATGGAGGGAGTACACAACTAACGGCCTGATTGATTGGATACCAATTTTTGCCCAACCAAAACTATGACAAGCCAAAACTTAGGCTTGCCAAAATCAATGATGCCAAAGTTAGGGCAAAAGACATAGGCGTGTATTTGGTTGATAGCCAAAATTAAGGCTTGCTAAATTTATCTTTTACGTAGTTTAAGAATTTTCTAGAGACTTGTCAAAACTTTGATCATAAATATTGGTGTGCCAATTTTTTTAGGAATGAACCAATTAATAACTACAAAATTTAGCATGCCATAGTTTCGGCGGGGCTAAGAATTGAAAACCAACCAGGTCCTAATTTCGCAAGTTTAATTGTCAGGCACAGTCGTCCGGCAGAAAAATGTAGTACGTAAAAAGCAGAGCAGGTACGGTGCCTGGCACACTTCATTCTTCGGAACAAGAACCCCGCAGTCCACCATTTGTGTGATATGGAGCACATCGCACCAGGATGGTGTACTGTGAATGTCGAGGTTGGGGGTGGCGAGGCTGGACTGGGAGTCATGTCAATGCTGACGGCCTGGAGATGGGACGCATTCGAGACCATGGAAGTAGCAGCTAGGCTTTCAAGTCTCCGTCCCATAAAAAATGTTGTTTTTTATTTTTAGATTTCTTTTTTTTAACCGTTCATCTTATTAAAAAATTTTATATAAATATTATTTATTTTATTATAATTTATTTTAACATTAGAGATACTTTAATAATAATTTATTTATTATATTATTTGTATAAAAAATTTGAATAAAACAAATGATCAAAGAAGTCTAAAAGTAAAAAAACGAAACTTTCAATAGGACGGAGGAAGTACTCCCTACTATCTATCGTTTTCGCTTCCCCAGAAACAATTTTGATCAAATACATATTAAAAATATTATTACTTATGGTACATAATTAGTATCATTAGAAAGATATTTGAATCTAATTTTTAATAAATTTATTTGGAGATATAAATATTGCTCAAAATATTAATATATATCTCTTAATCCGCCAAAAAAAAGCTTCATAAGACGGAACTTCAGTCTTCTTGGCACCTGCTAACCGCTTCAGAGCTCCAAGGTTGCATCAGCTGCATTTAGCTCTCCAATATAATCACTTAAATTTCTCATATTCACCTTAGAGCTGCTTCCTTTTGACTTATCTTTCTCATTGCTGTCTTCATCCTGGTCTGAACCTCCATCCTATGAACCATTTATGCTTTCTTTCAGTTCTTCATCTTTACCGGATATATCAGTATCACCGTCTGTCATTGTCTAGTTCATCATCAGTTTTGACCTGTACCATCTTCGGATGCTTCATCTTCCTCTTTGACATCTTCGTTATTAGCATCATGTTTGTTTGCATCAGATAAACTCTCCATATTTTCCTCTGTTCCAAGAGGGGCAGATGGCAAATCTGTCTCATCATCAGAACCAAAAGCATCAGAGCCATCGTCCAAGTCTTCCCCTTCCGATGAAATATTTCATCTAGCAACTCAGCGCCTTGCACATTGCTAGCAACAGTGAATTCTCCAAATGCTTTGGGCCGAGCTTTTGCACTAGATCAACAGGACGGCCATGATCTTTCACTAACAATGAAGCGCAGATCTGAACTTCAATTAACAGAGGTTTAGCGATAAGGAATTCCAACATGTTGAAAAACATTAGAAAACTTGCAAGGAAAGACCTGACCTCTCTGAACAAAGTGATTAGTGACAGAGCAGCAATGGAAACAGCTTTCTCATTAGACTTTTTGAGCAGGTCCTCATTCATCATCTGCAGGTTTCCCGAATGAGTGGATGAAGTAGCAACATAAGTGCAACACAGAAACTGTACATCTCGCCATATATTCCAGAATGCACAAGAATGTCAGAAACTATATCAGCCACAAACCAAAAGCGTTCACGGGTTTATTCCTATTCAGTCATTTTATATATAGAAACAAACAAAAACTAATGAAAAAGATGGCCAAGCTTACATCACATACAAAACACAACTAACAGCACAACTTGTCAAAAGAAAAAACTAACAGCAGCGTAACATTTCAACAAATCCAGTGCCTTAAGGGGACGTCTGGCCTAGTAGCATTACAGACAAGAGTACAGTTTGAGGCATCCAAAAATATTAGGGTACCTACCAAAGCCATTCTCATGCGACAAGAGTACAATTTGAGGCATCGAATTGGGAAAACTCATAACTATAACAAAGCATGATTAACAATTTAACATACAACTGATGTGCAGATTGAACTGGCCAAGATGGTACCCCAGAACTGTAAATCACACGAGCTAGATCCACAGGAAGTTTTCGCACCTGTGACCGGGCGGGCGCATAGGTGGTGACCACCCCACAGCCAGATCACTGGTGTTGAAGTGTGGCGCCGTGGCATTGATGCCCCGAATCCGCCTGTGAAGATGTCGCACATATGGGTGGCTGCCGGCTTCATGAGGTCGATGAACATTTGGAGCAATTAAAAGTTCGTTTATTTGATACAACAATCACACCAGCAATGATCATGCATCTAAGAGCTTATTTGGTACAAGAGTGCTAGGGATAGCATAAGAATGTCATAATCCTGGAACGACTCAAGTACTGGATACAAGAATCTGCTAGGGTTAGCAGAAGAATATCTTATCCTGATCTTGGAATAATTCAAGAAGTGAATCTAAACAACTTCAGTGCACGCAAGCCATTTTCTAAGGAATTAAGTCCATTTTTTGACCCTCAACTATTGTGTTGGACTAATTTTAACCCTCAGCTACAAAACCGTCTAGTACCCTAACTGTCAAAACCGTTCACTTTTAGCACCTGAGCGTGGATGAGGCTGTTTTGTTCAACGTGGAGCGGTTTTGACACGCAACCTCCATCTTAGTGACAGGTGGGGCCCACGTGTCATCGACTCAACCCCTCCCTCTCCGTCCTCACGTCCCTACGCCCCTGCGCGTCCTCCGCGTCGGGGTCCCGCTGCAGCGTCTCGTCCACGAGCAGCGCCGCCAGCCCCTCCGTGTCCGCCTTCTTGGTCGCCGTCCACCACAGGCCTCGACTCGGCCACGGCGTCGCCGCTATGGCCTCGCGGGCACTCACGACGGCTCGTGCCGTCCTTCCACTCGGCGCAGTACTCCGTGGCGGCGACGGCGGCGGTGGCCAAGCCGATCCTCTGCGAACACCGGGCCGCCGACGGTGCGGTTGGAGCACGATCGCGGTCCACCTCGCCAGACGCCTCCTTGTCATCGTCTCCCTTGCTTCTTTGGCTCCTTCGGCTCACGCAGCAACGATGAGCCGCACATGCGCGAAGGGAGAGGAGAGATGGGGAGCAAGCGATGGCGATGGCGCTTTAGGCATGATGGTGATGTGTTTTTAACGCGGGAACTGATGTGAGGCGATAGGGCCAATGGCGAGCGCGCTAAGCGGAAGTACCGCGTGGGCGTGGAAGGCGCGACCATCTCGAGCGCAAAGGCACACCAGGCGCGGATCCGCACTGCGCGGCGCGGAGGCACGGCGGCGGCGACTTCGGCGGACGACGTCCTTCACAAAGCCAGATCACGCGATGGCGGCGTGCTTGTCGCCTGGCGACGGTGGCATTGCGTGCCCTGCGTTCGCTTGTGGCGGCGGCGACGGCAACGAAATCCCATAGCAGAGCAATCCCATCGTGGGCCCCAGGCAATCCCATCGTTGAAGAGCAATTAAAAGTTCGTTGGTGCCGCGGCTTCGTGACAACAATCACACCAGCAATGCCGCGGCCGCCTGCATCGGCTAAGAGCGCGAGGCCGTGGCCATGAGGATGGAGAGGAAGGGATTGAGTCGATGACGCGTGGGCCCCTATGTCACCGAGATGGAGGAACGTGTCAAACCGCTCAACGTCGGTCAAAACAGCCTTGCCTGCTAGACAGATGCTAAAAGTGAACGGTTTTGATCCTATACCTGATCTAGACGGTTTTATAGCTGAGGATTAAAATTAGACCGACACAATAGTTGAGGGGCCAAAAGTTGACTTAATTCTTTTCTAAAATTATGGTACAACATCTCCTTGAAATAGGTTGAGTGTTATCCTCGGAATACTTGGAGACCTCGCCCACCAACTTCAACTTTGAAGCAGCGATAACCATGAGATTCGAGCTCTGTGATGACTTTCTCCAGAACAATATTGGCCGATACTGATAATCATGTCAAGGAAGCATTAGCATCATTGAAGGGTCAGACAGATGAAAAACTTGCAGGACTATTCCCTAAGTAGGTACAGAACAGAAACTCAGATATGATGAAATCAAAGGATATTTAGAAATTTAAAATGCTAGAGTTCCTGTCATTCCACATTGATAGATTTATTCACAAAAACTCATCTATATTAGATGGAATGGAACCCAGAATCACTCTACATGGATATATAGTATTAAGTAATGAGCACTCCATTCCAAGTTGAAGAAATTTGACTTAGGACAAAGGTCTACGATTTTAAACCGAGGGAATACAAGATAGGCCATTGTAGTTCTGAAGTTCCTATCCTGTAAGATTCTTTATTAATGCAAATCAAGGCCCAGATTTCTGAAAAGCTTTGAGTTGAAATGCTAAAGATTAACAGAAATCACACATAAGTTGTATGGTGTTTATTTTGTATAAAACTATGAAGGATAAGATGCAATTAGGGGATATAAAAAAGGATACATGTCGGTATTAGAGTCAACACACAGCCACCACCACCAGCTCCAGTTAGCTTTGAAACCAGGCTATATTTCAGAGTGGTTCGCAACACAGTTTCTATAGAAGAATGGCTGACTCCCATGCACTGAAGCAAACCTTGGTTCATCTCCATCAGCTCTGCTAGCTTATCCTCCTTAGAGGTGATGGCTATCTCATCCTCGGCTGCTAATTCAACAATGCTTGAAAGCTCTTCACTAATAGAGTTCACTGCATGGAAGACAGAAGCCATAGCATCTGGATGCCTAGATGCTCTTTCAGACACACCAGCAACCAGGGCCTTTGTGTTCCTACCAACTCTTGTATCAGTAATAAGCATTTTGACTGGGTTCCTGGACTCGAGGTTTGTCAGTTCCCCCTTCTTGAATTTGATCATTTTCCCTAGATTCAAACAGAAGATTTAGTGAACCAAAACAAATTAGGAGAAATGATAAGGCAATTAACATCCAGATGATCTCAGGCTTCCTAATAAATTACTTAACGCCCATTTGCAAGGGTTTCCATGCCTTGGACCTAAAACTAACAAGAGTAAAAGTCTTTTTGGTTAAATTATTGATTTCAATATATAGATACATCATCTATATGTCTATATGTAGCTGTAAGTCAATGTAACTCATTATATCTAAAAAAAGAACATATATAACTAACATGCCATAAATAAACTAGGGAGTTGTTTGAAAAAAAAATAAATAAATAAACTAGAAGCAATGCTGACTGCAACTAGAGTGGCAGTGCCATTAAGCAATCAATTATTAAGTTATTCCCCAAATATGGATATGAATTGATGTGAAAACGCGAACAACCTCGATATGGATTCCACTAGAGGTCAACCATGAATGCAAAGGCATTTCAATACTACCAGTTTTAAATAAAGATTCGAAAACTAATCAATTTCATAGCATACCAAAAGTGCTGACAGAATTGTCGATGCCAGAAGGCTTGCCATGAATGATCTTTTCCCCTTGGAACGCCCACTGGTTGACCAGCTCAAGATCACCCTTCTTCAACACCTCCCACCCCTCAGCACCCCTATGTGCTCCAACACTGACTGCGCCAGCAGCCGTCAATAGCACCCCCGACATGGACACACAGAATGCAGCCGAAGAGCCGAGCCCTGCGCCCATGGGCAGGTCCGAGGTCACGACTGCCTTGCCAGCCCTGCATCTGCACAAGAACACAGCCAACAACCACGTGTGAAAAAAAACGTGATGAGGGCGAGTGTTAGCACACTGACTGGCTGACTGCAAGATTGTGATTGATTTGGACGGAAGGGAGAAGCAACCAACCCCAGAATGGAGGTGTAGAGGAAAAGGAAGGCGGAGAGGCCGGCGGAGAGCCAGATCTTGGCCTCAGGGATCTCCTGGTCCTCCAAGAGCCTGGCAATGGCGGCCAGCTGGTCAGGGGAGCACGGCGCCGGAGCCCCGGGGTTGGCGCTGATCTCCTCCCCTAGCGCCCCGCGGAGGCGCGAGCACGGCCACGAGAAGGTGAGGCCCGAGTCCCTGAGGTACAGCTCCACCGCGCCGGAGTCAGCGCCGCCACCCTCTCCTGCGTGGCACCGAGGGAGAGGAGCTGTGAGAAGGGTACCAGCAGCAGCGGCGGCGACGCGACGAAACGAAGAGCCAGAACAAGACAGGGTGGGCGGGAGCACCTGTGGGGCGGAGGAGGAGGGAGGAGCGGGTGTAGAGATCGATGGCGGCGGCGACGGCGGCGGAGCCGTGGACGACGGCGTGCTCGCCCGCGAGGATGATCTTGCCGGGCGCGCGGGCGCGCACTTCCGCTGGTCCCCGATACCCCGCCGTGCCGGCGACTGGATCCATGGCACCGGAGACGACGAAATCCGTGGATCGATCCGCGGTCAAAGAAAACGGAACTGGAGGAGGGACTGGGAGGGTGTGTGAGCCGCGCGACCCCTGTCCTGTCCTCACGGTCTCGCGGCGTCCTTGGCTCTGGAGCTCGAGGTGGCCGGTGGCGTCAGTAGTGCATCTACTGGCGTCGTCGCTGTCGGTCCTTCGAAGGTCAAACCGGCGGAGCTGCCAAGAAATAGGAACAGCGACGGCCGGCCACGCCCACGGCGAACGGGGAGGCGAGGCGTGTGCCCCGAGAGAGACTGAGAGAGAGAGAGTGTTGGCCGCTGGCAGCTGGCAGCTGGCTGCAGTGCTTTAAACACGCCACAGCGACTGCTGGCGCGGTGAGCGTACGAGCGTCGATGATGTCGATGCCGGAGGTGGTGGTGGCGATCGGACGCCCTCTGAAATCTGAAGTGCGGGTCGCTCGGCGACGCGCGTGGAGGATGGCAGATACGCACCTGTTTTTGCGGATGAAAAGTATGGCTGTTCCCTTTCGTGTGGATGGACTGCGAGAAAAAAATATTGTATTATAATTGATAATTATGATTGATATAATTAATTGAATAAGCTTAGTTTTGATGTATTTTTCACTTTTCTTTATTATTCCTATAATGTGATCATTATACGTTACAGCGACTTTAGATATAGAAGTTATTATATACCTAATTTTTAGGTAACTATATGAGTTTTTAACTAATGAAATACATACAGAAATCAGAAAACGAACACCTTTTTTAGGCAATCTACATTTTTTGTTTATAGGTAGAACCAAATAGTACATATCTGCTAATATTATCGGTCTTTTGTTGCAATGCATAAGCTATTCATAGCTAGTCAGATTGGTTAATTATTAGGGAAGTGCTGTTCACTGTTAGTTTTATTAGTAGGTTTGAAGATACTAAGGTATGTTTGATTGATCAGGACTAGTGATTAGTTGGCTAGTAGTTAGCTAGCTAAAGTTTAGCCTAGTCCTGTTTGGATCATCAGCTAATTGTTAGTCTTTTGATAGCTGGGTTCTATAGACTAGTGACCTAACAATTAGTTAGAGCTTTGACGAAACTTTAGCCTACCCATTAATCCTCCTATTTGGATCATGAAGGGCTAAGTTTAGCAACTACTCCATCCATCCCAAATTATAAGTCATTATAAGAATTTTAGAGAGTCAAAACATCTCAAGTTTGACCAAAATTATAAAAAGAAATACAAAGATTTATAACACCAGATAGATATACTATAAAAATATAATTAACTAGCCCGAGCCCCCGCGCGAATAGAATCCAGCCTTGCAAAAGGTGAGGGAAACACATACTGTAAATACTAAATAGTATTATACCAGAGTGATGTTGTACACATATTCCCATCTTGTTTTGGGATCAATGTTGTTGGCTGAACCTTGGACTCGTACAGGTTTTTTGCAACTTGCTGAGATGCCTGTGTCACCCCTCCTGCTTCGTCCCCTCGGTTTTATCCTTTGCCCACATCGACCGACGGCCACCCAAAAAATCCCAGCGGCAGCGTGCGGCGCAAAGGACGTATGCAGGTTCTGTAAATTAGAAAAAACGAACTAAGCTTGGGAATACAAATGCATCATATATAGAAAAGACGTACCTTAGAATATCAGTAAATATCACAATCCGACAGAGCAAAAGGTGGGGTCATCAATGGTGATGGGCGGCGAATAAAAATGATAGCCCTAGCATAGGATAGGAAGCCACATATTTTGTCTGAAATGGAGAACGACACACCAGTATCACACAATCAACAATTTCTAGAATTAAGCGTTGATGACGTATGGTAAATCCTATTTGAACAGCGGAGGAAAGAAACCTAATATATGGGTTGCAAACATGAATGTTGGATAAAAATCAAATGTAAGCTAAGTGAGATTTGTAGACCACAGACCTAGATAGATAGAGAGAAAGAGAGCTGCTAGAGTGGGGAGCATCTACCTACTTATCGTCGCTTGTATTAGAAGCAATAATTCTCAAGTTAGTTGCGTAGCCTAAAAACCAAAGATGTACAGAGATATGAGGAACCTGCAAGAATATAAAGGAGCAAATTTCTGTCCATAATAACAAAAGATTAACACACAGGCTTGCAATTAGTACATAAGGCACGCAATATGTGGACAGAACATCTATTCTGCCATATATATATATTTTTTTTTGCTCTATATGTGTCGAGCATTACTGTTTACAAACAAAATTTAAATATAGAAAACATTGAACCTAAATCTATAGAAAGATCCATGTAAGGTAGGTAACATATCTCTATATTTTGTATTTGCCTGAATGTTACAATCTTTGGTTGAACCAAGCCCCAGATGTATATATGCCTTTTAAACTCAACTCAAATGGACCAATTGTATCAGACTTCAATTTTTTTGAAGTCTAAATGTGCTATCACAAAATGTGGACACGTGTTACCAGGAAATATGTGAATGACATGATGTCTCCCTGTTACTTCTATTCAGAACCTCATTATTTTGAAGGCTGTCCATTATAGCTGTGAGCCTGTGAGGTAAGCATGTAGTTGCTAAATGATGATATTGTTTAACGAGGATTGACTATATATAAAGACCTGCAGTACAAACCATTTCAGGAAGAACATATTGGTCCATGATATGGTAGATATATTTAGCCAAAATCCATTAATGAGAGGTCATGTGACCATGGACGCCATAAAACAGGGCTCATGTATTTCAAGCTAAGGCATAGAAAACAGGGAAAAATGGATTTTAGCCAGCATATAGGATAAAACAAAGTGGTGACATGAACATTGCATAGCATTTGTACATGGTTAGTAAATGAAACAACTAACCCAAGTTTGCATTCTATGTGTTGAGCATTACTGTCCACAAACAAAACTTACATATAGCGAACATTTAACCCATCGAAGGACTATTCATTGTAACCATGGAGCACATATTCAGGGTGGCAGCTGTACATGGTACGCCAAGGATCCTGAAAACAATTCGGGTAAGCATATTTCAGAGATGCAATGGAAGGGCGGGCCTGGTGCAAGCGGTAGAGTCTTACCGCCTGTGACCGGAAGGTCCCGGGTTCGAGTCGCGGTCTCCTCGCATTGCACAGGCGAGGGTAAGGCTTGCCACTAACACGCTTCCCCAGACCCCGCACCGAGCGGGAGCTCTCTGCACTGGGTACGCCCTTTTATATTTCAGAGATGCAATGGCAACTGGAGGTTGTAAAAACTCACATCGTTCCGTAAGCCTGAATGGCATAGGATTGGTGATTTCTCTAAGTTTTCGTTGCTGCTCTAAAAGAAATCAGACCGCAATCAGATGGGTTAATCCAGTAGTCGTACCACTGCAACAGTTAGTAAAGTGCTATGACAGTAAAATTGATCAGTTGGACTGAGAAGGCAAGGAATACCAAAAAGACAACTGTTTTACCTATTTCTGTCTTTGCTTTTGCAAGATCATCCCTTCCTGCAGGAAAAAAACACACTCAAATGTTACTCTAGGGGTCCAAAGAAATCGTTGTTTGGGGATTTTATCATAGTTCGGGATTTAGCCGGATTTAGCCGTAGTGTTTTGGCATGTATGCTGACCTTGAAGAATTATTGGCGCAGTAGCTTCATGCACCTAGGTCATCCTTTGATCTCCAACATCTTTGGTGGCTTTCAGTGACAGTGGGCAAATAGCACATTGATCAAACCTGGGTCATCCTTTCATCTCCAGCATCTTTGGTGTCTTTCAGTGACAGTGGACAAATAACACATTGATCAAACCTGTCACATGAATAGCACCGATTAAAGTGAGAGGATGATGGGTCCTAATAGTTAAGATGTACACTAACGATGCAGGCAGCAATGTGATAAACTACAAATCAAATCCAAAATAAGCTACCAGCTCTAGATGATACTGAATTACAAATAACTCTTAATGCGAAAGAAGGTTACTAAAAATTGTGATTTGGAGCTGAGTCTGCCCTCACTGAGGACCTAAGTCGTGTTCGGGACGGTTAAGTCGAATGGAATCGATTCCATCTAGGGAGGCAACACCAAATGATCCACAGCATGGGAGGTCTTGTTTGAGATGGCTAGATCGAATCGAATCAAATCCATCTAGAGAGGAAAGGCAGAAGGTTGGACTCACCACTCGTGGCCGCAGCAATGGATCGGACGCATTCGAGGTCGCGTGCACCAATCGGTGCTCCCGTTCCGCTCCCCTAGTGTTGTGGAAGGTGGCCAAGAAATATTTGCTCTGTTCGCTTGACTTCTAAGCCGTACTTTTTCAGCCAACGAACAGTATTTTTCTCGCACAACAAATCAGTCAACAGTACTTAGTTGGTCACACAGGATCGGACGGACATGAGCGCTGGACTGTGGATGACCTGAGTTATGTGAGGAGAAAACGGGGATGCACTGTTGAACTACAGGAACGTTCACACCCGGGGATGCACTGTTGAACTACAGGAACGTTCACAAAAAATAGAGATCTTTATAGATAGATAATCTAATGATACTTAGTTGGTATCATAAATGTTATTATCTTATCATATAAATTTGATCAAACTTAAAATGCTTTTAGAATGACTTATAATTTGAGATAGAGAGAGTAGTTGTTAGTCCAAGGAATCCAAACAGAGCCTTAGTCGCATTAGTATTGCGTTACACTAGATGTTAATCTGGATTAGATGATGCAATTTGTTGTTGTTTGTTTTGCCTGAATAAGAAGCTGTTTGTAATTGGTTTCCTGCGTAAGTGGCCATACCGTGTATTGAATTGTGGAGCGAGTGTAAGAGAAAATGTGCATGCTGGATACACATGATTTAGCCGAATTGTGGGATGCAAGGTAAGCTAGATTTGAAGATCTATATAGCCTAAACATGTACGAGCTGAACTCGGGGCCTGGTTAAGAAGATGTATGTCATAATTAATCTGATCTATGCTGATACTTATATGATATAAAAAATACTAGTATTGTTTTTATATAGATGATTAAAATT